CCCGCTGAGACGGTCTGATCCTTCCTTTTCTTGAGTTTGTTTTCAACACCTGCCTGAAACTGAGACGCGTTGTAGTTTGGGTAATCATTAATTGCTAAACTCATACACTGTAGGCATTATGTATGTTGAACCAACAGAAACATATTAATGATGTTTGAAGGACTTTAGCTGCGTCTACAAATTTGGCTCCAGAGCCTTGCATCCTGTCCACTGGTCTGTCATACAGACCCTGAAACAAATACATGTATATCCAAGAAAGCCCACGCAAGTCTAGAATATGTGGCAAGTGTAGATTTCCACAGTTTCAGTTGTAACAGACCTTTTCAACACAGGTACACTTCAACGTTATTCCAGGTGGTCAAGTAGAATATCCAGGTAAATAAATATACTAATTGTTGTCCATTGTTATATGCCTGATAACTCGTCCAGATTTAGGGGTTGCCCGACGAGCAGGGCGATACAGTGGTATCATCACACGTTTAGCGCTGTTTTTTATTGGTTCTATAAATCATTTGAAACGTTCACCTGCCAAAATTGTCTGCCTTCCCGCACAGAGCTACCAAAAGCTTTAAAATTAATAATGTAAGACCAGAGTTTCGATTCCCCTACATGGGTACAACATCTGAAGCCAATTTCAGTTGTGAAATTATTGCTAAAGGCGACGTAAAACCATACTCACTCACCAGAATACCAGACACAATTATTACAAAAGTTCATTTAGTGTACTTGCCAACTACAATTACGTATATTTTCAAATTATTTTGATACGTTCGTTTGATACATGCGCATAGTTGAATACTTTGAGTGACAGCTCAGTGTGAGCTCGACGACTCGGGCTCCAACAGTCAGCGACCTTCAAGACATATCTAAAGGTCACGGGAAACGTTTCGCCCGGATATCTTAACATGCATCGTTCCGCTCATTGTGTGCTGTGGAACAACACGTGACATCTTCAACTTAATGTCACGACAGAATTCTTCACATATCGGTCACAATCCACAGGAAACGGCTGTATCCGATTGTAATCGACATTGCGCATGACCCCGTAAACATGGGTACTCCGAACAACGTCCCTGGCGGACCACAGCACCCTTGCCCGGTATGAACTCAGGAAACGATGAATTAAATGTTTATGTCTAAGGCCTTGTCGTTCTCGAATGTATTGCTTAACTTGTAAACAGTTCGGTGAGATTTGTTAACACAGAAAAGCCATTAGGAGATAATGATATTCTGAAAGATACTGTCTGTCTCAAGGGGACATTCTGGCGGCCTTTTTATTTGTTTATTTTTTGGAAACGTTTCCTTTTCTGCAAGAACGTGACATACTCTGATAGAAAACATATTTTCTGGCTTTTGGATTTTTTATCTTGAGATCTAAAACACCATTTGTCAATTCTTATCGTAAAATCTAAAACAGCATTTGTCAATAAAGCGAACAAAGCGGTAGCTATTGCCTTGACATGCCATTAGTTTTCTAATATCCACATATCCTGATTCTTAGACTAATTCTAAATCTCTGATTATATATAATTTTGATATCTAACAAATAAACCCATTCAAACTGAAAAGGAGCCCCAGTCAGATGAGACAGCTGAGGGAATCTTCATGTATGGCTTTAGCATTGCAGGGTGGGCTAGGCAGTAGGGGAAATCATGACTACCACATTCTGTGCGTACAACACCGCCCTATGGGGCAGTGGACACGTGTATGTCAGCAGAGGAGAGGGCAGTGGTTCGATCCTTGGCTGAGTTATATCAAACCATACAGAAGATGGCATTTTATTGCTATTCTGACTGGCATTTAGGGGATAAAGTAATGACAGACTAATAGAAGGGCAATTGACTAACAACTAGTCTCTGAAATGAACATATTTTACAGAAAACAGTTCATAGTAAAGAATATAAAATATAATGAAAAGGAGCCCTGAGACTTTCTTCATTTTCAGAAGCTGTAGAAATCTAGACTTGCCACATTTTCTAGACTTGCGTGGGCTCTCTGGATATGTTTGCTTCAGGGTCTGTATGACAGGCAAGGCAACTGAGCACTCCACTGATTATCTGTAGTGGTGACTCTTGGAACGGTGTTGTGTCCGGAGATGTGGTTGAGTAGTCGTCAACGTTCCCCGACGGCGTGGACGTTTATCCATGATGTCAACCACAGGTTTTCCAACCCAGTATTGCTATAGTCGGTCTTAAACACAAATCCCTTGGGGTTTAATATAACACAGAGACTCCAGCTGTCTCGCACCAAATCGACACAAAGGAGATTTAGAATTCACGGCGAGTTATCAGTAGATTTGAACCGTTCATGACACACGGACTGACTGACTGACTGACTTTGGTTTTACGCCGCTTTTAGCAATATTCCAGCAATATCACGGCGGGGGACACCAGAAATGGGCTTCACTCATTGTACCCATGTGGGGATTCGAACCCGGGTCTTCGGCGTGACGAGCCAACGCTTTAACCACTAGACTACCCCACTGCCCTCATGACACACGGAGATAACAATAGAAACCTCTGAACATTGTTAGCGATATTCGACATAAACCATCACGTAATGAACTCATTAACTACAAAACTAGAACAGAATTGATCAAATTTGACTAAAAAAATAAACAAAGAGGTTTTGGAACTGAAATTGAATCGTCTGAGTCTACCTCCACTATAACACCCCTCCATGTTGGTAAAAAATCCCTAACATGTGTTTCGAGTTCAAAAATAGTTTTATAACCTGAGTTAACGATGTTGCTGCAGATTGTACACCGGTGCATCTGCGTCACGGTTCTTCATTCACATGAGATACAGGTTCAGGTAACCCGGAGGTTAATTAACCTAATAATAATTTTGGTTTCTCACGCGTGATAAGATTACACAAAGTTACATGCGTCAAACCATCTCTCGACTGTGGTGCAGATCCATTCTGATTACTTCATGCCGTGGTGAGTGACTGAGTATGATTTTGCGCCGCCTTTAGTAATATTCAAGCAATATCACGCCAGAGGACACCAGAAATGGGCTTCACACATTGTACCTATGTGGGGATCGAACCCGGGTCTTCGGCGTGACGAGCGAACGCTTTAACCACTAGGCTACCTCACAGCCCCATACGGTGGTGAAGTGAGTGAGTTAGTGAGTTTAGTTTACGCCGCTTTTGGCAATATTCCAGCAATATCACGGCGGGGGACACCAGAAATGGGCTTCACACATTGTACCCATGTGGGGATCGAACCCAGCCCTTCGGCGTGACGATTGCGGTGGTGAAGAAGGCTGTGGTATCAGTCGAAGTTGTCGACACCCACACCTAAGGAAATAATTTGAATTATCCGGGGTTCGACTCAGCCGAATAATGCGGTATAAACAAGGAGTACGTCGGGGACAAGGTTTTACTTAGCAACAACCGTATGTTCGACACATCGGCGTTCGACTGTACTACACGTGTCTTGCACTATCTATTTCACTGAATGGTGATTAAACGCGGGTGGTATTCAGACAAATACTTATGCCGTCCTTGAATGATTGTTTCCAACAAACACTCGGTGGACAAAAAGAAACTTCTGAAAAACAGCTTGATGCAAACTCTGGAAAAAATAGCTTCAAACATAAAAGACTTTCTTCTGAAATACGCCTGGAAAAAATTATGAGAAACCTTTGATTTGACGCTGAATCGAAGCAACCTTCACTATGAAAATACTTGAGACTTATTTAAGGATTGAATAAGCATCATATGCCATATTGGGAAGCTGATTATCAGCGTGTAATATTTCTTATTACTAATAGTAAAGACTTCACGTTTTATCTTAAGTTGTATCTTTGCCCAACGCCAATAATGAAAAACACGTCGTTAAGTGACGTGTGCAGCTGAGAGACTTCACGTGCTCAAGCGTAACGTCGCGGTTATCGCAATATTTTTCAATAGACATGTCGAACCGCTCTGGTTAGCAAAAACAAAATCAATGGCTTTATCACCTGGCAGTTGGCAGATGATATACCAGACTTGATCTATTCTCCACGTCCACGAGATACGCCTTCCCATTCATGCTACCGAACGCCGACAGGGCGGCTCGCACAATTCATTCACACTCTCTCGAATAACGCCGACCTCTGACTTGCAGCGTTTCCATATGTAGCTACACAGAACCAACGGCACATTTCAACACAGTTAATATTGATCATAACTTGAACCATTTTGCGCGTGGTAATGTCTTTTTTTAGTTTCAACACCGATCAACGTCCGCCAGCAGATGGCGTTGAACGGCGTTCGGTGATTACATGATCACTTGATTCCCCTTGCGCCCACATGTCGGGGTAAGAGATCGCAATGTGATAACATGGCTGAGATTATCATTCGTCTCTTGATGCCTCAAGGCATTTTCTTTATGTAAAGGAAAATATGGAAAAACAAAAGAAGCTGAAGTGAGAAGTCCCTAACAGATGCTCTACTCAGGCCCATGGAAATTACAGGCATCAATCTTATTTTCTTTCAACCTTATCGCTTTGTCGTAATAAAAGATGGACTTCTTTCACGCACATTAAATGCTCGGAAATAATACCGAAATGTGTATGTTTATGACTTAAAGTTACAGCGACGCTGAAACTATATGTTTACTTATTTAATTAAAAGATAAGATTTAAGTGTTTTTTTAAAGATGTTATGAAATTTTAAGTATTTATTTGCTGTAACGAAACATCGTAAAATGAATATGGTTCTTTTATTCCACTTAAATATTGAAATTAAAGCCTCATATTACTTTTTAAGAACCAACTACTTGGTACTAATTTGTCAAAATGTCACTGAATATCGATAACAGAACGATAAACACCCAAGCATAATGTTTAAAGGAACATATATTTGTTGTAAGAAAGCAAACATTATCTTTATAGGAAGTATCCTCAAGTTCAATTCATTAATCTGCAGTAAATCCCGCAGATGAAAAATAACCTGTAAACAAAATTCAGAATAAAATAAAAAATCTGAAACTGAATAAGTTCAATACTTACATGATATTTCAAAATAATGATCCGATGTTTTACACATCCAACAATTGACAAAGTGATGGAGTAATGTCCCTCAGCTGGTCCGTGTTTGTGTATCAAGTTGTCAAGGAAGACTGTTTCAAGCCTGTCGAACCCGGCAATATATAGATCCCGACCGTAACATTGGCGGGCGAGTCCACTAATTACAGTTTTTAGCGGCATGCCACTGAGGCTCGAGCGGGGAAGGGAGGTGTGTTTTCGCTGGATGGACTGTGCTTGTCAGCACGTTACTCCAACAACAGTTGTGAGTCGACGCGAGGGACTACGCTGACATGCGCACTGCATTCCCTCTTATCTACGCATCAATTGAAATGAAGTGTTTTAAACTTGTCTATCAGTTTACAAAGTTTGGAGTGCTATGGGTCGGTTGTTGGAAGCCAAATCATTTCCTACGGTTAATTAAAGAGCTGCAATTGACGGACCCAGCTCAGTTGGTGTAATTGGCCATTGCATGACGCACTCCCCTATAGACGAAGGTCGTGCACAGCGCAACGTCTAAAGTCGCATTTCGTCAGATTCCTTGAGATAGTTTAACCGCTTTGACCTCACTAATGAAATGGAATAAGTATCTATAAATCGCGTCACACTTCTGTAGTGGTGTGTGTACGTTTTGGGCACAGCTACGCCCAATCGTTCAAGTGGTGACGTAACTCGTACGCTACAACGTCGACGTAACGGGGTGAATCGGTGCAAGGCAGGGAAGACACGGTGCATGTACGTGAACGTGAGACTGTTTACACGTGCATTTGTCAGACAGTGCATTCGTGAACTTGTGAGAGACTGAGTACAGGTACTTGTCAGAAACACTACGGATGAACATGCTAGAGACTGAATGTATGAACTTGTCAGATACTGTATACTTGAATGTGTCTTAGACTGAATACAAAGCTTGTCAAATATTGTATACATGAACTTATCTGATACTGCATTCAAAGCTTGTCAGAGAATGTATACATGATCGTGTCTGAGACTGAACACATGAACTTGTCTGGGACTGAACACATGAACTTGTCTGGGACTGAACACATGAACTTGTCTGGGACTGAACACATGAACTTGTCTGGGACTGAACGCATGAACTTGTCTCAGACTGAACACATGAACTTGTCTGAGACTGAACACATGAACTTGTCTAAGACTGAACACATGAACTTGTCTGGGACTGAACACGTGAACTTGTCTGGGACTGAACACATGAACTTGTCTGGGACTGAACACATGAACTTGTCTGAGACTGAACACATGAACTTGTCAGAGACTGAACACATGAACTTGTCTCAGACTGAACACATGAACTTGTCTGGGACTGAACACATGAATTTGTCTGAGACTGAACACATGAACTTGTCTGAGACTGAACACATGAACTTGTCTGGGACTGAACACATGAACTTGTCTGAGACTGAACACATGAACTTGTCTGAGACTGAACACATGAACTTGTCTGAGACTGAACACATGAACTTGTCTGGGACTGAACACATGAACTTGTCTGGGACTGAACACATGAACTTGTCTGGGACTGAACACATGAACTTGTCTGAGACTGAACACATGAACTTGTCTGGGACTGAACACATGAACTTGTCTAAGACTGAACACATGAACTTGTCTGAGACTGAATACAAAGCTTGTCAATGATCGTATACATGAACGTGTCAATGATCGTATACATGAACGTGTCAAAGAGTGTATACATGAACTTGTCAAAGATTATACACATGAACTTAGAGGCTTGGCAGAGCTAAGGTGCACCAGTTGGCTACTTTGCCTTACATGCTATAATTACCTATGTTCATCAGTTCAAATCTCAAATGGTTTCTCATATTGACTGTCGGTTTGTCATAATTACATAGAATAAATATATATTAATCACCATAATATTTGTTCTTAAATTCGATATTTATTTATTCGATTATAATTGTAATATTTATGCAGATTTCTCTTATACCAAGATCCACTTTTGAGATGAATTAAAATGACTGAGATTACATCTTTAACAATAACTGACTTCTATAGATGCACGGGATGTATTCGGTTACACAGCGCGTGAACGCACGTGGCTGCACGGCAAAAAGTGCACCTCCAGTGTCAGCGTGTGAGTATTATTTCACGTAGAAAACTGGAAAAAAAGTCCCTTAACAAATAACCCCCAGCGCCTTTAATTAACGCTTACATGTTACTTGTGAAACAATACAGGAAATAAGTTGTGAAAAATAGCACTGCAGGCACTTGTAATAAGGCGACCCCTCTGATAGAATTGTGGCCGTGGCCGAGACCGTGGGAATAGCGTGTGTCATACAGTATCGGGCTGGTAGCCGGCAGGGGCGCTGTAACCGTAGTCGCAGGAACAGGGGCAATTGTAAGGGGAAGTAGTTGCTTGCCATCGTATCTGTCGTATTTCCTAGGTGGTCAAGTGTGTTAAACATATGTTTGTCGAGAAGCTTGGAATGTTTGACGTGAGTGTTTGGTAAGTTGTTGTTTAACACCGAACTCGGCGGTATTCCAGAGCTATACGATGCCTCTTTGTCTGGACAAGACATTCCAGTGACTGATGTCATGAGCATCGATCTACGATGGGATGACCTTGTCATTTCAAAGAAATACATAGCAGAATAATTCGTGTAACAGGTGAAGACAGATCTATTGAAGACATCGGATGTACACCCATCTTGCACCAACGACACGTGTAATTATCCACGCATATAACGAACTTCAGGTACAAATAACTGAATGCTATGTGAAAAGTTAACAATTTGGAACAGCTACTTAATTGTGACTGTGAATAGTGAAGTTCGGGCTTTTGTAAATGGTTTTGATATGAATAGCGAACTTCAGTTTTTAATGACTGTCTCTGATGCTTTAAGCGAAGGTCGGACTTACAGAACTCGCTCTGATGTAGATGTCAAAGTTTGGACTTAAAATAACTGAACAGATGGTAATTCCGAAGTTGGAACAGAATTGTCCCAGATGTGTATAAGACAGTTCGGACTGAAGGACTCTGTGAACGACCTCTGGGTTTGGATATGACGAAATGTCTTTGATATGTCGAATATGTGTCGAAATAGATATATATTTATGTAGTAAACGACGTTTATAACGAACACGGTTATAACGAACTGACGGATGTAACGAACTGTTTTTGTTCTCGGCCACTTGCCGTATAATATAGTGGAAATGCGAGTAACGAACTACAGTTATAACGAACTAAAATTAGTGGTCCCTACGAGTTCGTTTTAACCGTAGTTTACTGTAAGTGCTCATGACGGCGCCTCAGCGAGTGCAGTCTGTGTTGGTCGTCAGTAACGACGTCGGGAAGCACAGCGCCGGTAATTAACCGTGGACCTTCTGTGGCTCGCTGATATCAGTGACTGTCAACTGTGCCCAGCTGTTGGCAGCTTGACTGACGTTCGGGTTGCTAACACATGCAATTTGACAGCGTGCCAAGTAAAGAGGGAGGGGTGGGGGTTTGGTTTGGTGGAAGGGGAGGCGAGAGTTTATCCACAGTTGCTACGATATTTTTGTTATTATCTATTATTCAATTATCTCTTAATTTGCATTCAACATAGATAACGATCTACTCAATATTGAACATCGGTGGTAGAGAGAAGCCTAGTAGATTAGCATGCGCTTATCGCTTGGAAGGACTGGTCGATTCCTCAAACTGTCATATTACTGGAAGTTTACTAAAAGCGGCGTAAAACCATCCTCATTCATTCAATCAGTGTAGCAGCATAATACCACCAAATCTCAATAACATGTGGTTTTGTTCCTTCTGTTGAGACACGTTTTTATTCCAAGACATGTTTAAAAAATTGGCTTTACTTTGTATACAATGGAACTATTTCGGTCATGTCACCTTTAAATGTGAATTGGCCTCATGCCTTCGAGCCTCTCCTGCTGTGTATAAGCTGTACGTGTGACTCTCTCATCACATGATTATTTTCAGAAAAACCTAGGTGTACTTTGTTCTGCAATTTCCTAAAAAACCGGCGTTCTTAGTGTCAAACGGATGAAACGGTAACCCAAAGCTTAATGCAAAAAGTTATATTTTTGCAAAGCCCGAAGCAGAACCAACTCAGTTCTTCTTCAGAGGAAACTTTATATGTTTACATTGACAAAAGACTAGATTGCAAGGGCCCTAGGGCTGAATGCGTTTTTTAAAATAAACATCATCCGGTTGAAGCGATATATTTTCACCTTCATATCGGAGAGTTGGTTTATATTAGGGGTATATCTATCAAGGTTCATGAGTTAGATCTGAAGATGCTCCCCAAGATGACGCCGTTGCCGAGTGTGGTGTGGTCAAGACGCACCACACGACCGAGACTGTCTGTGATCTCACTGGAGATGTTCAACATATGATCACTACTTGGCGTGCATGTACTGTAGTTTGACGTGGGAGAAGAAGAAGAACAAAACCCACCCCCACCCCCACCCCGTGGGGGTGAAGGAGGTACCTTGCTGGGAGGGGTGTTCAACAGATACAATCTCAGTCACAATACTTGATACGCCTAACTGTTACTCATTCGTCGTCCAAAGGACCTCAATTCACCGTACGGAGTTTCGTCCCCACGGCGTGCAATGGACGTATAGATACCACCATACATATGATCAGGGGGCGGTGGGGTAGCCTAGTGGTTAAAGCGTTCGTTCGTCACGCCGAAGACCCGGGTTCGATGCCCCACATGGGTACAATGTCTGAAGCCCCTTTCTTGTGTCCCCCGCCGTGATATTGCTGGAATATTGCTAAAGCGGGGTAAAACTAAACTCACTCGCTCCCATGGCCGGGAGGTTCACAAAAAGTGAATCACATATAAAACTTGTCTCACTTGGGGCTTTCTTTCCAATCATGCTGACATGACGTATTTCAATACTGTTTATGGGGCGGTTGGGTAGCCTAGTGGTTAAAGCTTTCGCTCGTCACGCCGAAGACCCAGGTTCGAATCCCCACATGAGTACATTATGTGAAGCTCATTTCTGGTGTCCCCCGCCGTGATATTGCTGGAATATAGCTAAAAGCGGCGTAAAACCAAACTCACTCACCCAATACTGTTTATGTGAGTGACTATGATTTTAGGCCGCTTTTAGCAACATTCCCGCAATTTCGCGGCGGGGGACAATAAAAATGTAGGGAATCGAACCCGGGTCTTCGGCATGGCGAGCTAACACTTTAACCACTGGGCTACACAGTAAAGTATCTCCCCTCCAAGAATATCAAATAGTGAAGTATATATCCAAAGTCCGCTGACTTTTCCAATTCACAAATGTTGT